AAGTTCAGGGTGGTAGCATGGAAAGCTGAGTGGTAGGCAGGGCCAAGTCCCTCTGCCAGATGCCCACACCAGAGTCCTCACTATCCCCACGTGGGGAAAGGTTTCCTTGCCCAACCCACCACCTCGGGAACTGCTGCATAAGGCATTTTACATCTACCCAAAGTGCTTTGTGAGACATGAGTAGCTCATTATTTTTAATAGCTCTGACATCACTGTCAGTCAGGGATTTACCAAAAGGATAATGGGCTGTTGTTTGCCACTGCCTTTAGCATTAACCCCATGGTGCAGGCACACCCAGGCACACAACTCAAACTATTTTGCTGCCTTCATCTTCACCTTAAGGCTACAGTCCACATTTTATAAACCATCCTCTGCTCTAGTGTCTGTGTCTTGTACTGGAAACATCACTTGCTCTCCAAGTATCTTCTTCTTAATGGTGTTATGAAAAGACAAGATTCTTTAGTGGCTGAGAAAAAAGGAGAATTTTCTTCTTTCTCATAAATACCAGAAGACATTGAAATTTTCAGTTCATCGGTAGATGAAAGAATATTTTTTTCTGGGGTTTTTTGCCTGTTTATTTTTAAACTGATGTCCCCTAAACTTCCAGCCTCAACCAAGTTTCAACATATTTAATTTTTTATTAATAAAATAAAATATTTCCAAGTTCATTTACTGTAATCAAAATCATAATACACATTGGCACTTGGGTGGTACTTTTAATCTGTTTTTCTTCTTATATAATGACACACATCCCTGTTCAATTAGGTGACTCATCGTACACTTCAGCAGTAGCACACTGAGAAACAGAGCAAAATGTATTCCTAACAATTACATACTTCTTTTAAAAAGTTATAGTCAATCAAGATTGATAGAAAGAAACAAGGTTAAGACCCATTTGTGTCATTTAAAATGATAGCATGGTCTATTTCACCTCAGCACTCATTTTAAAAATGGCAGCATGGTTTGTGATTCATAACCATACCCCCTGTCACATAATTACACGTTTAATTCCATTTAGCCACCTACACACATCGTCTTGCTTTTCACCTTTGTTGTTTGTTCTTTCATACTTCACCCAGGCTAATGTGGTCCCAGAGCTCTTCTAAGTAGTAACAAAGGCATGATTTATTTATTTATAAACTCTGCTTCTGCCAATTGTTTTCAAAGTTTATCGCACAGTTAGCCAGAAAAATCTAACCCTGATAAAAGTAGGGTAGACAGGTCTAATAGGAAGGATGTGTTTCACTGTAGCTGGACAGGAAGCAACACAGTGAGAAGATTTGGATTCACTTGCTTTTCAGCCCTGTCCCAGTGCATAGGAACCTGCAGCCACAGCCAACAGGCCAAGTTGTACCACATGGCAAATCCCACGACATCAACTCCATCTCACAACCAGCCAAGTTACCATAAGACTGCTCAGTTAGTTTGGCTCTCCCACACAACAGGGATTCAGAGGCTGTTTTATGGGAATACTCTTTCATGAAAGAGTAAGGACTGTCTGCTAACCAATAACCAGGAAAAAGCTTTTATCTGAATCCAGGAGATTGGATATTGTGATTGTCAATATCAGCCCCTTCAATACCTCAAGACAAACCATGTGAGCCTTGGGAATCTAGATTTGGGCTTAGTTTTAAACAGCATGAGAAATCAGAGCACCTAGCTGATATTCCCATGTTGCTCCCAACAGCTGAAATCGAATGGTGCTGCACAGCACACCCTCCAGTGACCATGGGCTCATTTCCAGGTGCAAGGCATTACAAGCATCAAGCCTGTGGGACACCAAAGTGTGGACCCCTGTGGCACACCTGTAAATCTAGTGGGAAGGGAGACTGTGTTTAGTGTGCTGTAACATGAAAAGCAGTGCTTCCACAACTTTGAGATTTATGTGTCCACTATGTGTAAGGAATTGAAGGGACAATGTGTGATATGAGTTAGAGATTTTCCCTAGGAAAGGTGGGATAAAAGTCAGATACAGCCATAAGGCTTTGATCTACAAGATGAAAAGCATTTCAAAGCAGGGAGAAGTTCAACAGGTGATTTCTGGATATAGTTAAGATATTTACTTAAATATAATAGTTCATCTTTATTTTTGAGCAGTTCATGAAACAACCGTACAATACTATAAAGAGTTCAGATGACAAATAATGTTAGATGACAAATAATCTTATGTAGAGGAAGTCACCAAAATATTAACAAATATAAAAATTACAGATATCAGAGCAGTTCAGGAATCTGCACAATGGATTTTGACAATCCGGTCTTGATTGCTCAGCCACAGAAATACTGCTGGATATTTTTTTTCCCACTAATAGACAGATCCTATTTGAATTACTTACTTGTTTATATCTCATCTAATGAATTGACATGTTATTCAGATTCAATATGTAGAAATTAATTCTATTCTTCTCTTGGTGCCTTCATTAAAGCTGATTTATCCTGTGTGTTGCTCTTGAGTAGTGTCTTTGGTTATCCCTTTGGCTATCTGTTTTCCCATGGCATTGCTTCCCCAAGGCTTGCCATGACTTGTACTCAGGCACTGCCAGCTTGACACCCACACAGTGGGGAAGGAATGAATGGCAGCAAGCCAACAGTACTGGTTGAACATCACTCTGCAGATAAGCAACTGCACAGAGTTTCCATACTCTCTCTGATGCCCAGATATTGGCATTTGGAAGAAATGATTGTCAAAAAGCAAATAATAGGTGTTCAAGTTAGTGAAGCTGATAAACTCATCACACTTATTCACAAAGCATTAGTGATTTGCTGTAATGTCCTATGCTAGAAATTGGGGCAGCCACATATCAATAAGGATTTTTATAGTCAGACCTGAACCTCTAGTTATCATTCATACCCAAATTCTCAGAGTAGAAATATCAAAGCAGTAAAGTACCACCTAATCTCTGGAGCTCTGTTCTAATTAGTCAAATGCTTACTTCACCTGTAATTTACCGTCTTTCAGCTAAACCACATAAAATAGAGAAAGCTTAGTTACAACCTAAATATGTCTTTTCTTGTGAACCACAGAAAGATCAAAACATTCAGTTGCAACATTTTTATCATTTATGTTTTCCATAACATAAGGAGAAATAATGTGAAACTCAGCAAATATATCAAATAACTCAAACTCATCAAGCTTTCTGGGGAGTAACTTTCATCAAAAAAGAGTAGCTGACAAATTTTCCTCAAATTGGCTGCAGTAAAGTTTATTCCTATTAAAATAAATCAAGTGAAACTGATCAAATCAGGCTGTTTGCTATATTACTGAGTGATGCAAATGTTTTCTGTTCTTACCTAGAGTAATTCTGCAAATTTCATTATAAGTGAGACTAAATTGTGCATCAGTGGAGGCAGTAGAAAAGCTAAAGCTCAGTGTTTAAATTCAGTAATATACAGTGCATCTAGAAATCAGCCCACCTTGCAAAAGAAACCCATCAGCAGACTAAAGGAAGCAAAACTGCACAAGGAAGAACATCTTCATTCGGTGACCGCTTCAGAAGTGCCCAGCGTGAGCATCACAGCAAGGCTGAACCAGAACTCAACAGCTGGAGAGGGAGTCTTTTCAGCTGGAAGGCCTCTTCACCCTTACTTAATTTCTTGCAAGTTGTCACTGTGCTCAGGACAGTCTGTGTAACGGGCAACCTCCACATTTTAATGGATATTACTGCTGTTTGGATGAAACTCTGCACACTGGTGCAAACTGTGCAAAGTCAGTAAGACAAGTATTTTGCTGAAAATATGAAGGCGCATTCATAGGAGATGATTCCTCACTGGAGTTTCCTTGCAGAAGCAGAATAAAGGAATGGCACAGAAAGCTAGAGCATGCTTACACAATTAGTCATCAGGTGCAATTTTGAGCGAGAGGGTGGATGGCAGGACAGGAAGCATTACCACCAGCTTTCTGCAGAGTATGCCTTTGATGGTGTAGAAAGTAGTGAAATAACTGATCAGAAAACAAGGGAGGAATGCCAAAGTTAGCAAAGATACAGCAAGCAGAACTATTACTCTAATGATTCATTTTTTATAAATTTAGAAAAAAAACTGTTTCAAAAGAAAAGAACACAAGGATTTCCACTGTATGAGCTTTAGGACATGTTTTGACACAGCCATGATAGAAGATCTATTAAGCTCAGTGCAATGGATAAAGACAACAACAGATCTTTAAAACTCAAACAGCAAGTGTCACAACTGAGAAGAATGTGAGAGATGGAAGAGCTTTCACTGCTGCACTACCATGCTTGGCAATATTACAATCAGACAAACAAAGAGATTGAACAAGAATAGAGCGGAAGTGCAAAAACAGTGAGAGAAAGGTGCTGGAGCTTCTGAGGGAAGAAACCCCATAGGAACACTGTGTGGAGAACTCTAGCAGAGAGGAGTGCCACATCACAAAAACAACAACAACAAAACCCCCAACAAACAATAATTAGAAGAAATCAAGAGAGTCAGAGAAGGATAAATCTACACTATGTACAGGTCAGAGAAGCTGGTAAGTAGCTGAGAGAAAATAACAAAAGGTTGAGCATTGCAATTCTAACCATGTGGTGCAATTAAGAAAGGCCAAATAATTAAAAGAAAAACCATCCAGGAGTATGGATTGTGGTTTAATTCCAGCTGGCAACTAAGCTCCACAGAGCTGGTCGCTCACTCCCTCACCAGCAGGATCAGGGAGAGAATTGGAAGGGTAAAAGCAAGAAAACTCGAGGGTTAAAATAAATACAGTTTCATAGGGAAAGCAAAAGCTGCACATGCAAGCAAAGCAAAACAAGAAAATAATTCACTGCTTCCCATGGGCAAGCAGGTGTTCAGCCTCTGCAGAGGCTGAGAGCAGAGAGCTCTCTGCAGAGAGCATGGCCCTGTCACATGTAATGTTGGCTTGGGAAGGCAAACACCATCACTCCAAATGTTCCCCCCTTTACCTTCTTCCCCTCACTTTATGTATTGAGCATGATGTCATAAGGTCTGGAATATCCCTTTGGCAGTTGGGATCAGCTATCCCAGCTGTATATTCTCCCAAATCCTTGTGCACTGCGAGCCTGGTTGCTGGTGTGGTTGGGTGAGGAGCAGAAACAGCTTTGGCTCTGTGTAAGCACTGCTCAGCAGTAATGAAAACATCTCTGTAATATCAACACTGTGTTCAGCACTAATACAAACCACAGCCCCATACTAGCTACTGTGAAGAAATTTAACTTTATCCCAGACAAAACCAGCAGAGCGTGGAAATACCTACCTCTGCTCAGACCACCTCCTCTCTTTCCAGCAGGAACCTGTTCAGGACACAGACATGCCAATGCTTTAAGTGTCAAGAGTACATCATGACTCACCAGATCTGCATGTTTCACGTGAACTCACTGGTTGTCCCTTGGTTTAGGTGAGCTGGTGTTCCTGCTCAAACCAGGATACTCAGCAAAACCTTAGGGTTTTGCTCATTTGTTATTTACCTCTGATGTTCTTCTCATTACTGGCTGCAGTACTAGTACTAGATGGGGTTCAAGAAGTCTAACATGGCAGCAGAAAAAGGCTTCACTGATAAAAAGAAAAACTACCTCTCAGATGAGCTCTGCTATGGTGATGCACTACAGTAATCGTATTAAAAAACTGCACAGCCTAAACACCATGTGTGGCAGATAACTTCTTACCAAAAAAAAAACCCAAACCAAAACAAATAAACCAAAACAAAACCACCACACCTTTCTAAAGTACCCAGAAGGCAACCTGCCAAGCAACTAGAAATCATCCCCAATTACATGAGCATGTAATGGAAGTGCCCAAGGCATTTGACTCTTGGGCTACCCAAGGACTTGGAGCCCTGTTTACCATGAGAAAATATCTACAGAGACATCAACCATGAACTGCTCCGTGCATGTAACTAGGTTTCACATCTGTGTGGCACAAAGCAGGTGCGATAACAGTCAGAACCATTTGTTTGCCTTCAGGAAGTTCCTGGCCTGGACCTTCCTTGCTCTGTGGATAAAGTGAGACTGTGCCTTTGCCAAAGAAGCCCTAAAGGAAATCTCCAAGAGGCATCTATTCTGATTTTACCTCATCACTACAGAATGCTGCTACCATGTAAATGCCCAGTTAATCTAATTTTAGGATACTACCTTGTTATCTTACAGATGCCTGTAAGCCACAGAATATTGATACACCATCCAGATGGAAGAGGAAGATGGAAGAAGACAGATTTTTTTTTCTTTCTCCAAAGTCCAATTTTTCAATGGGATTGCTGTGGTTATTTTTCATCTCCCTCCATAAAGGACAGACTAAGTGAAATAATTACAGACCTTCTCTGAGCATTCTTATCTCCTAGAACACAGAAAATACAACAGAGCACTCACTGATTTATCTGTACAAAGAGAAGCAACTAAGAACACATTCAGGCAAATCCCTTCCTGTTTCCCCCTCTATAGTTATTTGGAGGAAGTTATTCATACACTGTATTTTTCTGAGGTTTGTGTTATCATTACTAAATATATGGTGACCCAGTATTTACCTCAGTAAGTAGGTCTGAGAGCTTTACGACTGTTACAACTTCCCTGTAGGAATATTATAGATCAAAGAAGATTGTTCCAGTTCTAGTGAACGTTTGTAGTATCATAGCCATTGCATTCTTCCCTTGTGCTTGCAACTACTACTTTGGTTAACAAGATATACTCTTACATAAAACAGCCTGAAGAGTAACATGGTGCTTTTGCAAAAGCAGGGTCCTGATGCACCGTTTTGCGTAAAATATCTTCCCAACAATCAACAGCTTTAGTAAGAAAGCATAGAATTATCAGTTCTACTTATACCCTTCTGAAAAGAAAGTTTGTACATGCCTATGTAACAGTCCTCAAATTTGGTTGATGACTCTTTGCACACCTCATGTGACAGCTATATGTCCAAATACCCAGTGTGTGGGAGACATAGTCTCTGTGCAGCCCCCCAAATTTATCTAGCACAACAGTTTGTGCTAGATATTTTCTACATGAATAAGAAATAGTGAATTCAGTGCAAGGTTGGCTGGGTGTAATTCCTCAGCCTGACTTATGCAGAGATTCTGGAGGGTGATCAAGCAGGCATCTGGCTCTGAGCTCTGGTGGTCATGTGTACTGGGCAGTAGGCATGGGTGGTGTTTCCAAACGGGAGTGTATAAACGTGTTAGCTAGCAAGCTGTTAGTGGTGATCAGCAGATTTAGGAGCCTGATCTATGTCACCTAAGAAAAGTTCATAGCTTTTGTCTGGTCCACAAATAAAAAAAAATCACTGTTTTTAAGCTGGTGTGTAGAGATGGAGAGTTAGCACTTTTAGTACATGTGGAGCCATAATCTTTAAAAAATATATATCTTAGTTGATCCAAGTAGGTTCTCAGTTTTCCTTGCAGCCTTTCAGTTCTTAAAGGGGGTTATGAAAAGAGTGAGAGAAACTTTTCACATGGGTACATGTGAACATAGGACATATGTGACAGATGTCACATAGGACAAGGGTGAACAGTTTTAAGTTAAAAGAGGACAGATTTAGATTGGATATTAGGAAGAAATTCTTTACTCAGAGAGTGGTGAGACACTGGCACAGGCTGCCTAGAGAAACTGTGGATGCCCCATCCCTGGCAGTGTTCAAGGCCAGGCTGGATGGGGCTTTGAGCAACCTGAGCTAATGAAAGGCATCCCTGCCCATGGCAGGGAGTTTGGAACTACATGATCTTCAAACTCCCTTCCAACCCAAACCATTCTATTACTCTAGGATTCTGTGATTCCCTAGACACGTTTCCATGATGGCCAAAACAGGTGTGTTTTTCCAGCCATGCTAGCTCTGTGAAATTATGGCAGAAGCAGTCCTAATACTTACTGAAAGCTTGTTAGGAAGCTGGGATGCTTGACTCCAGGTTAGCTGGCCATAAAGGTTCTAGGTTTCCCCGTATGCTTTACCTTGGCTAGCTAAGCTTATCTGAAATCGGAGTGCATATATGCATCCTGGAGTCTTTAGAAAAGCACAGAAACTTATACCACCAGCTCTCTATCCCAGCAGAGACAGGGCCTCTTCCCTAAAGGACAAAGTAATCACAGAAATGTGGTTACATGGTGATTAAACTGTAGTGTGCAATTAATATGGCAGTTTTAGAACTCACTTGGACAAGGGTTCAGTAACAAGATCATGTTGACAAAAACATAATTTTGATGGTTCCTGTTCTGGAAGGGTGGAAGTGGGGCTTGAAATCAAAACTTTACTGGTTAAGAGAATTTCTGGGGGCAAAGGCACCAGTGGCTTTGTGCCAGCGTCCAGATCCTGATAGAAAAATGTGTAGTATTGCTCAGATTTGCATAGCACCTGAGCTGCAGGAAGGGGAGATGGCTCAGCCACTGGTCCTGCCACGACAGTTCTGAAATTCAGCCCTGGAAGCCAGCAGCTGTGCACCCCATTTGCCAAACCTGCACTGTGGCATGTGAAAACATGAAAAATGCATTAGCCTCACAGTTGTAGCTGCATGAAAAGTCTTGGATGCAGAGGGCTTTTGATGCAGAAGATTTTAAGTTGTCATTAATTACAGAGACATTTTTAATGTCTCCATTACATCCAGAGATCATATTACAAGACATAATTGCTTTTAGAGTGCAATTAGGCTGTAAAATTACTATACTAAAAAGCAATGCATCTATAAAATACGTATTCAGGTATTTTGTACATCAATGCCTTTTAGAAGATAAGGAACTGCTCTGTGTTCAGTGCTGTTCCCAAATAGCTGTGATAATTTTCTGGTTTCTGCTGTGATCTTTTTATTGTTCCACCGAATCTTCCCTCAACCATGTGAAAATACTGGGACTAAGCTGTGCTGCAGGAAAAAGGTAAAGAGTTGTTCTGGTTAATAAGAATGGAAAGACATGGGATTTTCTATTGACATTAAAGACTTGCTTTATTGTCTTTTACCAGGAAAAAAAAAAATCTGCTTAGAGACGAGACTCATACTGCAGACAAGAAATGGTTTACAGCTCGTAGCCTCCCTCCATTTAGTGCTGTCCACTGTGGAACAAAGGAGAAACCTGAAATTCTCACTCCCAGTTTCTCAGAAGAGGGTAAATGTGGCATTAGGTCTCAGCTCAGCCCCAAGAGGTACCTGGGCCTCAAATCCAGCAATTCATAAAAATAAATGTCACTTAGGCTGGGAAAGTAGGAGAAGGAGGAGAAGAAGGAACTGTTTGTGTAGCCACTGAGGAATGTTACTGTGATACAATTAATCAGTTGCATCTCTCTGCACTTAGCAGAAGGAGTATTTTAAAAGGAACTAAAAGATGCAGTAGAAGATACGAAGGGTAGGAAGCATGCTGCATGTTTGATAAGAACAGGGAGTGTACTCAGCCTAAAAAACCACCCAATTGTTCATTTGCTCTGAACTAAAGCAGGCACTATGATTTTAAAATGTTTTTGTTTAACTCTTGTTAGTACTGAATATGTATTTCCGAAGACTGTGAAGTAACTATAAAACTGCCATCTTCTATGAAGAATGACTTCAGTGTGCAAGCACAGCCCCTTCTACCTCTCCTTCACCCACTGATGCTCCATGCTAACTCCAGCCTTCTGACCCCTGAGCATGTGTTGTGCTCACAATCCTTCTTACGCTGAAGCACAGCCTCACTGAGACAGTAGCCCACAGAAAAAGGACTGTTCTGGACAGTCTGCCGGGACGTGGGGGGGTCCTGGACATAGCGTTGGTTCTCACAGTCCTGTGCAGACCACTGCATGCCGTTACTCCCTGTGTGCCCAGTGAGTGCCAGGTGTCTCCCAACTCCTGCTCCCATTGCAGCACCCTCGGTGTTTTCTAGTGTCAGCTATGTTGGATTTCCCAGACTGATTACCATGCTGCTATTTATTTGCCAGAGCTGGAATAATTTCAGTCCTGGCTGACCCAAAATCTTCACTGGAAACGTCTCTGCTCCAGCTTGGTCCTTGGTGGAGAACATGCACAACAGGTAGAATTTCATAAGCAACCTACACAAAGTTCCCACAGAAACCACAGGTATTTTCTGGGATTGTGGAGTCTGCTCAGTGAGGAAACCAGTGCTAAATATAACAACAAATTGCTGCTTAATGAGTAAGACTTCATTTGGCAGAAAAGATTCCTCCACCGACTTCACTGGCATAAACACTCAAGGTGTAGGAAGCCTTGTAGTAAAGAGGGTAAGGAAGGCGGGGTGGCAGGGTGGGACTAGAGGGGCGTCTGGAAGTAAATAGTCTTAATTTAGTGTCAAGCAGATCCTCCAATATTTTCAGAACCTGAACAAGTACATATATTTTTGTAGAAGGACAGGAAAATGTCTAGGCCCGAGACAGTCATTTGAATGTGACAAATGCAGTGGAATAAAATGTCTTTATTGCATATTATTCCTATGGGAAATAAAGACATTTCCATAGGAATAAAATAGTATTGCAAACATTTTCTATGGGAAATCAAATGTAGAGCAGATGATTCCGAATGGCAAGACTTACTGAAGGGGAAAAAAAAAAAGATGAAGTGTCCATGGCATCTTGCATGAAAAAGACTGAGTATCCTACTGTATTTAGAAAATATATGCTAAATATGCTAAAGAAGGACAAAAGTACCATTGCTGGTACTTATGATAGAGTTGGCTAGTGGTTTGGGAAATCACAATTCTTACAGGCTAAAGTGGAACTGGGGGTCAAATTTTCTCTTCAGCAGGGAAGTCTGAAGTTAGGAGCCCAAGCTGTCCCCACAGTGCACAGTGTCCTTGCAGACATCAAAGTCCTCCTCAGCTCTCTTGGGAAGTTTGCTCTGTTTGCTTTTGGTATGCAGTGCAAATTGGCAGCATTCATTCCTGGTCTGTATGTGGTGGTAGGCTGAAATGATAGCATATAGGCCTGAAAAACAGGAAATCTATTTATTGGAATGCTGCAATTAATGTAATAGGGTGATTGAGAGTCCAACTGGTAAACAACTAGATAATTGGACAATGAGGAGGATGTCTGGAGTCCATCAAAGGCTGTCTAAGGCCTCCACAGGGCACCTGAGGTATTTTATGACAGAGACATCCAAATATAGTACTTGAAGATGTACAGCATGAACTGAACACATGGTGCTGCTAATGACAGATGCTGGAGTACATGCTTTGCCTAAGGACAAATAATTACCCAGTTAAAAACACGTGCTAAGTGCATGATAGATAGTAACAACAAAAAGGCATGATGCAAAGCGTCAAAGATGAATGAAACATAAGTCCCAGGGAGACAGTAATGTGGACTGCCTCCATGGCTTTTGCCTCATTTACAAACACCCAGGTTGCTCA